GAGTAGCAGCAAATAAATGTGATTTCAACCCCTACAGGAGACATATTTTAAGCTGTCTTTGTCTTTCTGTTTTTTTCTTGACTTTGACAGTCAGATTTAGTAATGAAACTCTTGTGTGTGTTCAAGTATAAAGTTATCTATATTATAATTATACTCAACTACTATAAAATTAATAAATATATTTTCAAGAAAAATTATTAATTTAGACATTATCAGTTTTAAAATAAATTAAAAAATAAATTGTAATAGATTTTTCTATACAACCCCTTTTTGTCCTTTTACCCTAGTTCCTGAAAATTGTCGAGGAACTTGACCTAATAGGTTTGTCATCTTTCATGTGATTCATTTGTATTAGTAAGCTAAGGTCACAATCTATTTTCTTTCAGAGAAAAAAGAGGTCTTTTTTTAAATAAAAATATTGACTATATATCAAGCCTATCCTTCACAAATTCATATCTCTGGGAAGATGGGAACGTGGATAAATGGGTAAATAATGTAATAAACTTTTTAAGATTCCAGAATTGATGAGGTACAATCCATCTTGTGTCTTATCGATCTCTTACTAAGCCTTCTTACTTACAAAGATAAGTGTTTCCACTTTGAATATGAAGAGAGTAGAAAAGTATGGAGGGAATAAAATTGTTTGCACTGAAGGAGTTTATAGTAGGTCTTTGTTCCATTTTACATGAAATAGAATTTTAAGTATAAAATTACTTGCATTTAAGCAGTCTTATTTTTTTGCATCAAGGTATTACTTTTGTAAAATATACTGAATTGTGTTTCTCAGTGTTACTCAATTCATTATGAATAAGGGTACAGCTAGATTGTATTTTCTGACAATGTAACTTTTGATAGTCTGGAATATTCAAAAAGAATATTACAAGAGTTTAAAAGAGATTGATATACTATATTGTGGCTATTTTAAACTAAAATTAGCTTTCATAATCTTTGATTTCTTGTTTTCTGTGTAAAATACTGCTACTGCCTTTTAGCAAGTCCTACATGTCTTAAGCAGTGGTAGTTTAAAACATAAGGCTCACTGGGATTCCATCTGGAGTGGCTGCACTCCAGGTGGGGAGGCTGCACCTGCTCCATCTGCGGTGTCCCAGTGATATTGACTTGGTATGGGGCCCGGAGAGATCTCCAGCGCTGTGGTGTCATATGGGACTTGCTGCTGTGTCTCTGGACCAGAGCTGTTGGTGTGCTAAGATGGTGCCCAGAGGCTAATTGTGGAGATGACAGCCAGTCTTCTGGGCAAGAGGGGACCCGAGGAGGGACTGCCCAGGTCCTCTGCCACCATGTGGCCTGGAGATGTAGTCCTGGAACCCGCATACCTGAGCCTTGCTTGTGGAAGCTCTTGGTCATCAGGATTCCATCTGGAGTAGGAGGAGAGACTGCACCTGCTCCATCTGGGCTGTTGGTATGCTAAGATTCACATTAAAAAATTTTCAGCAGATTATATCTTAGTGAGGTCCATCCTGAGATGGTGGAGTCAGACTTGGGGTATGGCGGCAATTTTGTATTGTGGAAGCAAGCGGCAGCTGGGGATCTGCTTGGGTGGGCACAGGCCAACCCTTCCCCTCCAATTTACTCTGGACTATTCAGAGTCTGAGCTTAACTGCGGCTTCTGATCTCTTGAGATTTATTTAGGGGTCTCTAAGGCAAGGCCAATAGTATAGCTTGCAGGATGGTGCTGGAGTTGGTTCATGGGGGTGACTGCCGGTTCTTCCATGTGTATTAAGAAGTGGGGGACTTAGCCCATCCCAACTCTGAGTGAGCTTGTATAGCTGAGCCAGAGGTGGTTTGTGGGTGTGACTCCCACATACCTAACTTTTGGCTGTTTAATTTTTTGGTAAACTTGTTCCCAAGTTGTTGAGGTCTGGCCAAAGGCACAGCGGCAATTTTGTGGTATCAGGAAGCCTGAGGACAACAGCAGGCTACTGATGCACTCACCCCTATCAAGCACTTCCACAAGCAAAGCCCATGTATGCAGGTTCCAGGACTACATCTCCAGGCCACATGGTGGTAGAGAACCCAGGCTGTCCCTCCCTGGGTCTCTGCCTACCCATAAGTCTGGCTGTCATCTCCACAATTAGTCTCCAGGCACCATATTAGCACACCAACAGCCCTGGCCCAGAGACACAGCAGCAAGTCCAGGAATATACTACAGAGTTAGAGATCTCTCCAGGCCCCATATCGAGCAAATATCACCAGGGCACCCCAGATGGGGCAGGTGCAGTCTCCCCACCTACTCCAGATGGAATCCCAGTGACCAAGAGCTTTCAAAGCAAGGCCCGGGTATGTTGTTTCAGGACTAAATATCCAAGTTTCACGGTGGCAGGGGATCTGGGCTGTCCTCCCCAGGTCGCCACCTGCCTAGAAAACTGTCTGTCATGCCCATAATTTGCCTCTGTATGCCATCTTAGAGCAGCAACAGCCCTGGCCCAGAGGCTCCCAATTAAATACCAAAATGGATTAGTGCCATACAGAGATGTCTCTGGAACCCAAGCATTTACAGTCTAGAAATTTACATTTATAATCACACCCGAATGAGCTCTCATGATATTCAAAATGAGCTATGGAAAATATATTATCTAGTGTCTGCCCCTGGCAGGTAGGTTTGAATAAAAGTAAAGTAAAGGCCCTCCCGTTGATCATCGATTTGCTCGAGCGGGCCCAGTAACGTCTCCATTGGAGACTTTGTTGTTACTGTGTCTGGCATATCGAATGCTCTCAGTAGTGGGAAACTTAGAGCAAAATAAATGCTCCAAATTAGAGAGAGAGTATTGGGGAAATTGTCTGCCATAGAGGCATGGTGAGGACTGCAATGTGTATGTATGTGTGTGTGTGCGGCGGTGGAGGGGGGGGGGATGATACTTGGGACATTGGTGGTGGAAAATGTGCACTGGTGGAGGGATGGGTGTTTCATCATTGGATGCCTGAATCTAAAACATGAAAACTTTGTAAGTCTATCTCATGGTGATACAATAAAATAAAAAAGTAATGTGGAAAAAAAAACCAAAAGGCTCGCTTTTGAGATAATTTAAGTAGCAAATTACTTCCCATGAGCTAAAAATAAAGTAAGGTTAAATTAACCTGTTTAAAATATTAAGAAGTAAAGTTAATTGGAAAGTCTTTAAAACAACTATTAACCATAAATTTATATTCTGAAAGCAGCTTTAAACATCTTTCAACTACACTGTATTTAATGTATAAGACTCCATTGTTTGTCATAAATTTCTAGCACCTTACAGAAAATGAAAGTCCTCTAAAGGTGCGTATTGTGTACCTATAGTTAACTGATGCATATAATGAAATACAAGTAGGTATTTCTTATTATTCAAGAAGAAGAAGTGAGGCATCTTCTGGGAGCAATTTGGGTTGTCCCATAATGGATAAAGTGGACTCAACTATAATTATTTTCAGGGAAATTTTCTTGGGACTTGTCTGAAAATTGAATGAGCAATGATTAATATCAGATAAAGGAAAGAGCAATAATTTGTCTTTTATTAGGATAGTGAATAACTGCTTCCATTCATGGATCTTTGTGCAATATATGAAATTTGTATTTAGTCCCTTTCTATCTGATTGATAGTATTCTTTGCTCATTTAAATGGCAGTGCAGTGCCAAACCATAAATAAAGTTAAGAACTTGTAAGACACTGGTGAAGAGATTGCTGTTGGAACTTTGTATGCCTGAAACTTAATAATTAATTACTTTGTAACTCTGTAATTCATGGTGATCAATTTTTTAAAATATCTGAAACAGGAACTTGCAAAACATGAGAAAATTGTACATGCCTGAGACCGCCAAAAGGTAAAGGTAAAGGTAAAGGCCCTCCCGTTGATCGTCGATTTGCTCGAGCGGGCCCAGTAACGTCTCCATTGGAGACTTTGTTGTTACTGTGTCTGGCATATCGTATACTCTCGGTAGCTTGACGGGCTCTCCGAGAGGGGCGGAGGAATCGAACTCAGGTTGGCCATGCTGGCCGCGTGTAAGGCAAACACCCTACCCGCTGTGCTATTAGTCAATCATCCTTATTTATAGATTTTAAATTGAAGAATTTTTCTCATGTTTTGTGCATTTTTATGCTTTTTAAAAATGCCTTCTTGGGGAGGAGGGATATCATTGTTTAAAATGCCCCCAAACCAGAGATCGCTGAAGAACTGTCTAGAGTTCCTAAGTGCAAGAAGGCTGTAGCACTGTAGCACTGTCCTCCCATTGATATCTATTTGCTCGAGTGGGCCCAGTAATGTCTCCATTGTGAGCCTTGTTGTTACTGTGTTTAACACATGAATACGTCATGCGTCATACGCCGTGCGGGCAAGATACTCTTGGTAGCTTGCCGGGCTCTCTGGGAGAAATCGAACCCAGGTCGGCCAGGCCGGCCACATGCAAGGCAAATGCCCTACCGCTGAAGTGCCCAAAAGGACTACAGTGCTGTTGGCTGTGAGTTGAATATTAATTATGTCAACAATATGTATTAAATGAAATATCCTTGAATAGGAATTAATGTAAAACCATATAATAGGTTATGTTTTGGTTGGTTGAAGAAAATTTGGGAGCCTAAGACTAGCAGAAACCTAGTTGTATATTTTCCATACAAGCAGTGATTTAGTGCTCACAGTGTTTGCTGTTGTGGCAAATTTCAGGAGCATAGCTACTGCAGTTCATGAAAAGCAACTGTATTAAACATGTACAGTTACTGATTAGTGGATTGAGCCCATCAATTCAGGGTCTTCCATATACTTCACCATTTAATGAAGAGATGGATTCACAGTGTAATGATTAGAGAAAAGTGAAAGATGAGAGCTAGGTACGAGAGGGAGTCTAATAGAGCCCAAGGCTGCCCAGCTCTGCGTGCCTGAGATGATGAAAACAGTGAAGAAAAGATACAAAGCACGTAGGAGAATGTAAAGTAAATGAGGTATATGTTTATTTTTAAACAGAGCATAATGTTGGTGGGATTCTGACTCACATTGTCACCATGTTGTTACAGAAATACACGATGGCAAAATGCTTCCACCCCTTGCCAAAATGAACAGTGAGGAAAAATGAAGAACGCTGAAGAACTTGAACAAAAAGTTGCAGAACAGAAATAGCCACACTCCTCTGGAGTCTCATTCCTATAGAACCATCACATAAAAGGTAGGGGACAAATTTTGCCCTTTTGAACTTTATTTTAATTCATATGTATGGATATAAGGAAATATTGTTATAAAAATATGGAACTATCCTATTTGACAGAGTTCCAATGGATACTGAAGCCATATGCTAATGAAATAAGTCAAAGACAACTAACTTGACCTCACCTACATGCAGGAATTAAGTGGATAAATAATACACCTAAATCATAGCAGAGGAAACAGATTATTGGTAGTCAGGGTTGAAGTGGATAACGGAGACAAAATATGTAAGTTTTCTATTATAAAGTAATTGTAGTCACTGCATCGTGACTATAGCTAATCATTTTGTAAAGTTTTTTGAAAGTGAATCTTAGAACTTATCAGAAAAGGAGGATCTGAAACAATCTATAATGGATATTAATTAGATTTAGTGTGGTGATCATTTCATAACAAAAATAAGAATCATAGTGTTGTACCCTTGAGACTAATACATGGTATGTGTTAGTTGTATCTCAGTTTAAAAATAAAAAATGCAGTTAAACAAATCTTTTGATTTAGTCAACAAATATTCATTCAGTGTCTTCTGGGAAGTACGGAGTAACACAAAAATGCAAGGGTTTGACCTTGAAGGAAATGATAGATAAATACAGAATGAAATTTGTAGACTTTAGTTATGGTCATGTATATGGGTCAAAAGCTAATGAGATAAAGAATGATTGGGAGGCTACTTTAGTTTGATTCTCCTAGAAAACCACTCAGAATTGGGCACAGTGAATTAAACCATGAAGAAGAGTGAGCCAAGTAACAGCTTAAAGATTCAACTTTCAATGGACCGTGAACCAGGTCGTGGGTATGTTCAACAACTCAGAAAGTAAACATATTTCTTTGAGAAGGGATTTGGAGAAACAAGGTGGAAGAGATAAAATTGGAAAGTATTTCATCCTTGGGAAAAGATCTTGCTTTTACGATACCAGATCAAAAGCCAATAGCAAATTATTAGCAGAGAAGTGAGTTTATTATATTCTTAGAGGAATGATTTTAATGGTAAGACTAGAGGCTCAGTAGTAGTGAAAAAATAGGATGATGCCACCCAAGTAAGGGATAAATGGTCAGTTGGTTTAGGGAGAGATGAATTTAAATTTACTTTGGATCTGCTTCAGCTAGATTATCATAGATGAATGCCAATTATTGTTAAGAATCCCCAAATATAATTATAATTTTCATGTGAACAGCATGTTGATCACTTCTGTTTTAATAATAGAAAATGAACATTTATTTCACCATTTCAAATTACAGCTTATTATGTATATGCCCACAGTTTCTGAAACTAGAGAGGTTGATGTTAAACAGTGAAAAAGAGCATTCTATTGTGAAATATCAAGTTCTAGACAAGTTATCTTTGGAGTGCAGGTAACACCCTGTGTTCAGGGCTTTTTTTGTGACTTTCTGCACAGGAGTCACTCCTAGAAGATTCAAGGGATAATAATTTATGGCAGGAATTTAACCCAGGTCAGCCTCATGTAAGGCAAGCACCCTACCCTCTGTACTATATCTTTGACCCTAGGCAAGTTATCTTGTAAAACTTGATGATGTCACTTTTCCAGATTCTTTTGTGTGACTCTCCTTTCCTGGCACCTGACTTCTGAGAGCATAGATTTTTTTTAAAAAAATTATTTTAATGTAGATAAAAGCCACAATTGCTAATACAATTCTAGAGTTGAAAGTGATTAGATAACAAAGCTTCAATATTAAATTTAATAGTATAAAATACCACTTTTTAAATGTGAAACTTATATATCTCATCATGGGTTTGTTAAGTCCTTGTCTTAGAATTTACTAAACTAGTTGCTACAAATTGAGCCTTCTCTGTTATTGTTTTTATTTAATGAGTTAGCATCTATATTACTTTCCCATTTAATTTAGGTGTGCTCCTACTGGAATATCAGTTTTACATTCATGTGGTCCATAGACTTCAGGATATATGGTATGAGCCAATGAGTTAACATGGCGACAGATATGGGAAGTGGGCATGGCTTCTGGGGTTTCTGGAAGTATAGAGTGTGGGCGGGGAGATGGACAACATTATTATATAAATCATGGAGATGCAGCCTCTGTGGAGAGTATCCTTCAAGACAAGAAAACTGTGAGTTTTTCAGCAATTAGTAGCTTAGGTCAGTCAAGCAGGACTTCAAGACTAACTTTCACACCGGATTCTAGTGGAACAGAGAAAAAGAGAAAAACTGAAATGCTACTCAAGATGGGTATTTTAAGCAGATAACAGCACATGCACTTGAGCAGTGTATAGTAGAGAAACAGATGATTTCTGCAGTGTTCCTTTATTTACGAAAGGCTTCATGTATTAAGGTGTGTTGAACAATGCACAAAGTCCACAGGAGATGAGAATGTAAGGAAAGTAAGTTCAAGATTTCAAGAGGCCAACAGCTTCCCATGGAGCATGGAGCAACATCAAAGTTTATATTATGTTCAAATGAATTCTCATGGTAACTGAGCCAAATTATATTCTACAAACCAAGCAAAATAGAGAATCTTGCTTTCTAATATTCAGAAGTTTCTGAAATGGCTCTAAATTTGGATGTTACAGGTACTCTTTCGTCCTCCATCCCAATCCCCTGTTAAAAACCACCTTTGCGCATCAGAGCACCAGTTATACAGTTTTGATTAACCAAAAAAGTTGTGATGTATGTAACTCTGGCACAGAATACATTACAAAAGAAGAACAAAACATCAGAAAGAATTAAGAGTTCCAGAAATAACTCTGAGGATCCTTTTCTCTGTTACACAGGATGCATCTTTTTTTATGGTAAATCACCAAAATATTGGTGCAATACCTTAACCTCAGTGAGTCAAGATTCCTGACACCAGAGGGGTATTTTATATCTCACAGCTCAGGTAGCTAAATATGGACTCTGTGGACATGTAAGCAGGTGCAAACCCATCATTTCAATTTCAATAAATAGCTTTGACAAACTGGTACAGGCTACCTTTGGGGGAGCCTAAGGCTTTTTGCAATACATTTAAAATCACTAGCTTGTACATTTACCTCTGTCTTGACTAAAGATCAATACCATGGTTCCAGGTGGCCTTCAAGATAAACACAGAACTACCAAAGATCAATTGAAACTAATCCTACCACCATAAATACTTAGAGCATTGAGTCATGATAAAAATATTCAAGAAGGTCTAAAGAAAGATCTGCTCATTTTCTGACTGGTTTTGACTAATTATAACTCTTTGATCACTGTATCACTGTCATCCCACTGACTGTCGAATTACTTGAGCGGGCACCAGTAACGTTTCTATTCCTCCTAACCCTGAGATTTCAGCAGCCTCTTCTTACTCATCTTTTCCCAATGATTGGAGGCTCTTTCAGGGTCAGGCAAATGAGACCTATTGTCTTTACTATATTTGGCATCTTGAATATGCCACAGGGAGTTTTTAGGATCTGCCTGAACTCTTTGATATACTGGGAAATTATTGAAAGTCTATGTTTTCAAATTGGAAACCAGAATTTCTAGAAAATGTAATTAGATTCGGAGGCAGTAATGCAATAGTGAAGGAGAAAGTTTAATGATGCTTTAGTTGATTTCTTTGAAATTGAATGGTTAAAGAAATAGTGGTTGCTTTTCACTTAGGTAATACCAGTAAATTTTGTAGTTATCTGAGTATGTGAGATAGGAAAGAGAAGAAAAGCAGAAATGACTCCTTATTACCTTAATGACCTAGAGGTACATGATCCCACTAGATAATTCTGACATTCTTACCAAATGCAAGGGAGTTGGAATATATAACAACCCTCTAGCACCTGCTTTGGTTGAGGGTTGTTCCTTTAGTGGAATCAGAGAGGATGTTGGTCTGCCAGGCATGTGGACCAAGGGAACTTCAGCAACCAGAAGAATCCATCAGAGTTCAGGAATTTGGAAACTAAGAAAAGAAAAAAACCCCAAAGAATTCTAACGGAGCATAGGTGGGATGGGAATGCTCCATTTTTACTGAAGGAAGTTATAATAATAATGATAATCATGATCATATTAGTAGAGCTATCATTTTTCAAGAAATCCTAAGACATGAATTACCATACTGAACACCTTATATTCATTATATCACTTAAATCTTATAGTTTGAATTTTCACTCTGTTCATTTAGAGGGAGAGGGATACATAGAGATCTAAGTCATCATGATCTTTACAACAGTCTCATTTTCAGTTTATAAAGGAATAGATCAGCTTGTGATTTGCTGTAGCAAGGTAAACTGAGGTTTTTGTAGTAACACATTAAGGGAGTAGAGTTGAGATTCACAGTCTGGTTAGCCTCCAAATAATCCCTTCTGGCATCACTATAATTCTTAAATAATCAGCTAATCATTATTTTTATGACATTCATTTTTTTTAATTTTTAAAAGTGAAACACTATGAGGTACAGTTGTAGTCTTACAAGTTTTGGTGCTTGGGTTTCAGTTATACAATGATTGAGTACCCATCACTCCACCAGTGCCCACTTTCCACCACCACTGATCCCAGTATCCCTCCCACCCACCCCCATCCACCTCATCCTATCCCACCTCTGTGACAGGGCATTCCCTTCTATTCTCTCTCTCCTTTTGGGTGCTCTGCTTTGCAAAAGAGACATTGAGTAGTAATCATGTTCCTTCTATAGTCTACTTTCAGCATGCAGCTCTCATCCTGGGAGGATCCTCCCATCACCCTTTACTTGGTGGTCCCTTCTCTATCTGATCTGCCTTTTCCCCTAACATGTGTGGCTGCCCTCCAAGCCATGGAGTGAACCTCCTGGTACTTATCTCGTCTATTCTTGGGCTTTAGTCTCCTATTTTGTTACTTTCTATTCCCCAGATAAATGAAATCTTTCTATGTCTGTCCCTCTCTTTCTGACTCATTTCACTTAGCATGATACTTTCCATGTAGTACCACTTGTATGTAAATTTCATGACTTCATCTTTTCTAACAGCTGCATAGTACTCCATTGTGTAGATGTACCAAAGCTTCT